GGTCCCGGTGTTGGATGGATTTGTCCACTGCACGGATGAGCCCCAACCAGGTCAAAACAGCTATTCAATAGTACTTCCTCGCTTTGCAGTTCACACGCTTCATTTTTCATTAGAAACGACGAATTTCCACCACAGACGTGGCGGCTGGACCGCTGCGTTTTAAATTTGCAAACTATCGCTGTCTTGTGAGAATGATGATACATCGACACGGTACAGATTACATCGTCAGTACGGTTTGACCATTAGAAACGGCTTGCTAGTATCGTATCCCCTCCGAACGGCCGACTCCTTGATTTATTCATTCGCTAAATAAAAGCCAAAACACTGTATCAATTTGAATTGGCATCGTCCGAATTTCATAATCCAAACACTTTCACACACACACACACACACACACACACAAACACACACATATACGAGAGAGAGCTTTAAACCATTTGTGTAAAACACACTATATCGCATGCTTACCTGTTCATCATCCGAATGCTTCTCGATTGCTTCCAAAATTAGATGGTAAATACTCGACTGCAAACTGGATTGCATATCGGTTCGAATGATTTTCACATCCTTGAAATTGTCCGGCGCAAATTGTTTTCGACTAGAATCAGCAAAGAATGGTAGCGATGGCAACGAGTTGGTGGACAAAACGGACTGTACAAACTCACACATCATCCTCATTCAGTCCGAGTACTTCACAGAATGTGGACAACCGCATAACCCCAGTCCGTGCCGGATCGAACAAGGCTTGCCAACTCTGACAGGAACGGATCGAAAACGGGGTCGTGATCTAATGACTGCGGATGGCAATAGTGCGAAGGCATAACTAACTGGTAAACATCTGATGTACGCTCAGGATTGTTATGATTTTAATTTCGATAGATCAAGAATCACTTCACACGCAATTTATCAATGATCTAAGTAGAACGACATTGAATTCAATGTTTCTGAATTTAAAGTCATATTCCTACGCCACAAGAGGCGGTTCTCGTATGCCCTCGGAAATCAGCAACTACCACACACTTCAAGTGAGCATTTAAGCTGTTTGATCAATTGCGCTGAGGCTTCGTCCGCGGTTGGCAAGACTGTCGGCTTGCTTGGGTGAGTCTTTGACCGGTTTGAATCAGCACTGTTCCCACGATTGCCATCTATCCGTGTACATTCAACCGTACACAGAGTACACCATCCAAGCTCGGAGTCCATGGTTGCAACCTGATCGGAAGATGCTTGAGCGCCCACAAAGGATGGTCACCAAGATGGTCAAGGGATTGCATTGCCTCATTTGCGAGAAGAGTTTACGATTATTGCAACTATATTCCTTTCAGTACCACCAAATTTGGGGAGACTCGATTTTGACGTATCAAATAATGCAGAACCCAAACCATCCATGTCGGCAGCTGCTCATGTTATCAAACAATGTACACCTTAGGGGACACCGGTTCAAGTTACTAATTCCAAAGTGTCGACTGGAATGCCGGTACCAATCTTTTGCAGTACGCAGTACATGGAACACCTTGCCATCTCACATCGTTTTTTTGCAGCATCTATTGAATCTTTCAAGCGGAGACTCGGTGAAATCTTGGTACACCGTACATTCTTACACCATTTAAGCAAACGCAAAATCAATGAATCCCACATTATCTACAATCTCCTACCTGGAACTCTATGTGATTGTTTCGCCGTAAAACGATTCAATTGTGTGAATATTTTATGGGAACAAGAGAAGCATGAGCTTGTGAATAATTTCCATAGTAAAACTTTGGCTTTGACTTTGAAAATTCAGGTATATGTCAACTTGAACTATTGTGGAGCACTACGAAGAGTCATACTAAATACGTAAGTGTTGATTTGTGTTTTAATTTGATTCGGGGGAAGAATTCTCACTGAACATATTGGTTCAGAACTACTCACGTATGTTTCAGACAAAAAGAAATACTTTCATGAGAGCAAGAAAAAGCATCATGATCACAGCAGGATGTATGTTGAATTCAACTGTTTCGTGGTAATTTCATCAGCTGTGTACCTATATTCGGATCACAATTGGTTAAAAGAGTGACAGGTTTGGTTTTAACCAAACGCGATCCGAATGTATGTGCACGGCTGATGAGATTGCCACGAATTAATTGAATTCAGCACACGTCCTGTGATCATGATGCTTCTTCTTGCTCTCATGAAAAAGAAATACCATTTTGCCTGTTCGCCGAGCTTGGCAATTTGCTAGCAAACGCTTCATCATCACCAACTGAGGTGATATTGTCAGTGCTTGTGAAGTGGCAGTGTTCTGCTTGTACCCTCTCGTTTATCTATGTGTTCTTCTCCATTGACTATTCCTGTCCCTTGTACTCCCTATGTTGGACTTGGTTTATCGTTGAAATGGTGCAAACACGTGTAGTTGGAGAGTGGTTCTTCCCTACTCATTGCGGGCCTTTGTCCGTTCCCGCGTGACATTTTGTTGCCACTTTAACATTCAGTTGCATAGAGTTACACACGTGATCCAGTTCGATGTGTCTGTTCATTGAGTTGATTAAGGAGCGCCAAGCAAGTTTGAAAAAATTTTCTGTTCTGTTTTGACCAGGATTGATTGATGATTTTCACTGATTCACAGTCAAACTGATGTTCTTCTTGATCTTCTTGGAGGGAAATAAATGACGATGGGTCGGGCCCAACGACTATCGATTTATGAGCACGGATTCTTGTTCACAGTTTCCCCTCACCCCATGTGTCTGTTTCATTTAAGTGACGGTACGCATCCGGGTGTTTTTCGACCTCCATTGGCATTTTTCACATGACATGCACTTTTTAAGCGCTGTGTTACTCACAATGCACCTTTTTTCGTTTTGAGATCGAATTCTAACCATGAGGCTAGGCACAGTATTTTACCGACCCATGACCCAACACAAGAAATCAGAACACACAAAAGAGCGTGCTAATCGGAACGGGGTTAATGATTTCATGAATGATCGCGAGAACATATCGATCGATTTAACGATGGCGTCAAACTAGGTCAAGCTGGTGCACGGACAAAACAGTGTCCGTCATGAACAGCCTTGTCACGTGATTGGACTAGCAATGGGAACCGATAGACGAATGCGTACGTAGGAATTCGTAGGTTGTATCGGTTGCTCCAAAGTCGACATGTTTGCCAGTTATCCGCCCTACCTTGCGTTTGACCTTATCGTTCTGTTGACCGTATGTGCCGCATTTAATCTGGTTTCAATCCGATGCAGTTGGTCCCTCATTCTTCTCTTCGTGTCCGTATTGCATTGAGCGATCCGGACGATCACCCTGTTCTCTTTTAGTGTCACTCCCTAGTTGTTATTTTCACATTCCTCCGGTTACCCTAGCTGATCTCTCGCATGAACAATCCTGTACAGACCCAAACCCTCCCTTGTGAAAGTGGTTGGTAGAACTCGAGGCGTGTGTGCTGATTGCACCGTCAGTTGATTTACTTATATATCAATAGAGTATCGCATTTGTACCGAATCCAGTTGATTGTTTTCGTCTGGGTTCGCTTTGTGCTTCGAGAACGTATCTATCCCTATCGGCAGAATCGAAACTGGTCGGACATCTAACAGTGTACGTTACAATAGGAATTCAATTATTGAATCATATCACTACTTTAATTGTCCCCAGGAAAAAAAGACAAGAAAAACACGATTAACTGGTGCTGCTTACCTTCAAACAGTCTTCATCCAGTCCGTTCTCTTCCATGTAGGACTTTAGTTGTGCCACGGTGATCCATTCTGGTAGGGTGGGTCGGACAGGGCTTAGAGTTAGTCCGCATGATAAACGGAACATTAACCATATGCATTTATTTTGGCTCTTCACCCACCGTCCTCGCAC